TCTGTTTTTTAAAACTGATTCTAACAATATACTTGATGCAGCAGCCATTACATTTACTGTCATATGATGTGTTCTCAAAATCTACACCTTTCATACTTGGCAATAAATCATCAACTATTTCAGGGGTGTAATATAATGCTTCCATAATTTTAGTAAAATAATATTCCTTAATATCGCTTCAAGGAGTTTTGTTTTTGTGGCCCTGGATTTCGTTGATAGCGTTCCTTTGATTTCATTTTTTGAGGGTTAGAATTCTTTTGATTATGATCTCTAGAGGCTTCCTTTTTAAAGTCTGGATTAAGAGTATACTTTTTAGAATAGTAAATTGAATTTAAAATTTTGCTATCCTAGCTTGTTTTTGTTGTACCCATTTTAACATTTTTGCAATATAAAGCCTGGCTTCAATGCATAAAACTGCTTAGAATAGGTCTTTGCAGAAGCAATCTTATACTTTTTGCTCATTTTATATGCAATTCTTGCTTTGCTTTTGACCCTGTTACATTGTCTTTTATAGTATGCTCGGGTATTTGATCTATTTTTATCTATAAAATCTTCCATTTGCTTTTTATTATTATAATTTTTTGCATTTCTTTTTTAGTTTTATTCCCACTTAAATTGCTCTTCTTCCTTTTTGTACAATTAACACAACCAAAATTACTCCTAACACTGAAACCAGAAATAAGTACATGTACCACAAAACCAAGTATGCAGGATGCACATTATTATTGTCATAAACTCTGCTGCTATTTATCATTGTAAACACTTATCTCAGTATGTTGTACCATCAAGAAGAATACAATGCAGTACTTCAGAAGCAGCTGAATAAAAGAGCTTGAATACTGAGCAGCTGTAACTTTATTTCACTCTATTTTAAAAATGAATGTTAAATTTCATAGTTAACTTATTTATTTATTAGCTCTTAAAAGAACCATTGATCTCTCAGTCTGAGCAGTGGGTAGTCCTAGCAAATGAGATAATCTCAGCAAAGACCAAGAGAAGAAAAGAGCGAGAATATTATAGCAGTCTACAGAACAGTAACGTAGCTATGGCTATTTCGATTTGCACATGCACATTTACTTTAAAAATTGCGTGTAAAAAGAGAGGGGTGTGATAAATGATGCCCAAATAATTAGCTTTGCAACTTGAACTCCTAATGAGATAATAAAGGCACTTGTCTTGTCCTTGACCCAAACTCAGAAGATTGATGTAAAAACCATGTTAAGCTGTTCTCTAGTTTAAAACATTTCCATGTTAATAGAAAAAAGATGAAAGAAGAAGAAAAAGTCTGAAGAATTTTGCAAAAAATTGAATTTTGGCCTATTCTCCAGAATTGCTCCCGCTACATTACAGTTCACTTTAAAGGTACTAGGAGAATCGTTCAGTGAAGAGGAGCTCATCTAAGCCATTTATAAGACTGTATAACGCAAGATAACAGAGTTATAAGCTTTTGAACATTATAAATTTGGCTGAAAATTCAACCTCAACCCTACCTATAAGCTACTGCCTATATAATAGACAGAAATTTTTATACAAAAAAATTTGTCATGTGGTTGAACAGTCTCAAGTAACACCACTATGCTTCCGAAGGAAACATCTAGTTTTGTTTTTATGAATAATGACTTGGAATGTGATTTTGACAAGTTTAAGGAGGAAATAAAACAGAGCTGATTACTGACATGGTTGCTAGAGATCTTCGCCCAGCTGCTATTGTAAAATGAGAAGGATTTCATGCACTTTTGAATTATATAGAGCCAGGTTACAAGATCCCTAGTAATGCATATATAGCGAGTGTTATCTGGCAGAAACATGAAGTAGGGAAAAGAGCAATGATGCAGAGGTTAAAAAATAAATGCTTTGCTACCTCACTAGTGATACATGGACCAGCTGTGCTAATGATGCATACGTATCCCTGGCTGCGCATTTCGTTGATTCTGATTGGCAACTAGTTTCCTGTGCACTTGGAAGTAGTCCCTTTCCTGGACATCACACTGGGAGTCACATTTATGAAAAGCTAAAGGACATCACTCATGCTTTTGGGTTTCAACAGCATTGTTGCCATGGTCCATGATGCTGCATCTCACATGGTTCTTTCTGGTGAAATGCTAGAAGATTGAAATGTACAAGGGTATGTTACGCAGCACGTCGTTTACAGTTGTATATTGAAGATGGCCTTTCTGTATCTGCTATTACTCAAGCAGTTGGTGCTGCCAAGAAACTTGTTACTCATTTTAGACACGGTGCTCTTGCTAGTGATGCATTGAAAAAGAAGCAATTGGATATGGGAAAGCCTGTAATGAAGCTTCAGCAAGATTGTCCTACATGTTAGAACAGCACGTTTTACATGATCAGAAGCTGGCTAGAAAACAGATAGCATGTTACTGCTGTTTTGTCGGATGAAACTATCCCAAAACGGCAATACCATTATCTTAATTTCACTTGTAAATTCTGGCTCCTTTCAGAACATTTCTTTAAAGTTTTAGAGCCATTGGAAATTACAACTGTTGTTTTTAGCAGTGAAAGTCATATTTCATTGTCAGTTGTACTTCCTGTGGTATACAGTATTATTAGCCAGCTTAGTTCATCTGACAAGTCTATTGCTATAAGAGTTTTTAAGGAAAAGGTAGTTGCCGGAATGAAAACTAGATGGAAATTGGATGAGATTGATGCCAATCTTTTCTTGGCCATTGCTACAGCACTAGATCCAAGGTTGAAATACCTAAAGTTTTTAACTGAAGTTGAGCAGTCAAAAGTCAAAGAGAATATCATTGAGCATGCCAAATATAGTCAATTGCATTGTGCTACACCAGAGGCTGTACCTTGTAATGAGCTACCACCACAGAAGAAATTAAAATCAGCACTGGATATTCTACTAGGAGAAGAGGCATCCGAGTTGGAGATTAGCCATAGCAAAAATATTGAAGCCAATATATCTTTATTTTATACTGAGAAGGTGATCTCGGATTCTGATCCCATACTGTGGTGGCAAGAAGATTTCCTATTTTAGCACAAGTTGCAAAATATGTTTTGTGTTCCAGCTACTTCTACTTCAGTGAGAGGCTATTCTCAACTTCAGGTTCAACCCTTTCACACCGATAGACATACTTGTACGTCAATAATATGAGGGGGTGTAGTATAATTGTTATATTCTTTTCTATTTATAGAAATAAAACAGTCTAGATAGCTTTAAACGGTTCTCCTTTCATCTCTCTAAGTATATAGGTAGTAAAGTCCAGTAGCGCGACCCAAACTGTTCAAAACGATTAGTGGCCGAGGTCAGTCACCTAGAAAATGACACTACAACAAAAGACAGAATGTTTAGACATACCTTTGGCTTATCAAATCCTCTAGAAGTGAGTTGACAAGGCGAGCGACTCGAGAGAGCTGCTTTGCCTAATATTTCAATGGAGAAAAGTGGTAGGTGGGGCCACATTTTGCTTAGAAACGGCTTAGCAACCATGGCTCCTCGACGAGTCACAATAGCATTTCTACTCATAGCATCTTCTCCACTGACTTCTGCCTCTTTTCATATCCTACCTACTAGGTCCTGCTTAACATGATACAACTCTCTTTCCCTTCGCCAAGTTTGTGTGGTTAAAAAAAGTGGTAAGTATCCTATACTTCTATCTAAGAATGAACATCCCATTAAGGCTGCTATTAAGTTTCAAGTCTCGCAGGACAAGATCTTAAGAGATATGCATTGCTAAACTAGTACCACCAGAAAATTATTTTTAATCCAAAATTAATTTCGGTGTTAAAGGATTAACTGTGTCAAAATTAAGAAGCTGTTTAAAACCAGATAACGTTGATGCATTAACCTTCTTACATGCTACCAATCAATATTAGAAAAATGTATGCAGCTAAAGTAAATTTTTAATGTTTGCCCTTTCTCTCATTTATCTTTACATTATTTTGTTGTTAAAACTCTTTGTAGCATCAAATTCATAAATAATTAAAATTAATACTAAACCAATAATCAGGCGAAATAATTGTAATAAATAATTAATGTTATTAAAAATAGAATATTCGCTCGCCCATGAAAGAAAACCTTCGGTAAGCAGTATGACCCATTTGTTTATGCCCTACTATGCAGCAGCTCCAAAATAGATGCTTACATTAATAAATTCAAAATAAGTGATGATATGACAATGGATAAGAAGCATGGAGACATCTAGAAGAATCTTAAAGCAATTGAGAATATTACTCCAAATGTTGGTAGTAGAGTTATTATTAAGGGATGCATTGCTTCTATACACAAAGAAGAGAAGATCACTACTAAGTTGGGAATGGAACTGTTGAAAGTTGAGGCTGCAATTAGTAATAATTCCAAACAAGCTTTCAGATTGGCGTAATGGGAAGAATTTTGGCTTATGGTGAGCATTGGCAAAACTTATAAATTGTCAAATATAACAGTCAAAATGTATCAAAGAGTTTGACATTTCTCTTTTACACAGGACAGTACAATTGAAGAATAAGGTCAAATAGAAAGGAAAGTGTGTAACGAAATAGAAAGTCATACGCTTTATTTGAAGGTGAAATAATAGGAATAATTTCATAATTCATACCCATTTTTTATGAAGCAGTAAAGTTTCTGAAATCAATGATGTAATGGGAGAGTGTACGAAGTGCAAGACTCGTCAAAACCTTGATAGATGTCATATAAATTCTTCAGCAAAGCTTCTTCTGGAGAACAAAAATAAGGAGCAGAAGATAGTTAGCTTTTTTGGAACTTAATTGAGTTTTTCAAAGAGCGAGATGGCGTAACTGATGACAAAGTTGATTCACTTAATGTTCTATTGACTTTAGAACCACTAAAGCATGAAATCAATGCACAAAATGTGGTTGTCGCTATAAACGAACATGAATTTGAACTGATTAGTCAATTGGAAGTAGAGCTGTGAACCGGTTTAAATAAACCGGTTATTTCATCGGTTTTTATTATAATTAGTTTAACCGGTTATTAATTTTAATAACTGGAAGCACATGGCTTTAAGCATATCAAAATGGCCGCCAACATTGTATCTCCAACTGGCCGTTCTTCTCTTGTTTGGAAGTACTTTGGGTTTGCTAAAGACTGTGATGGTACCTTATCAAAGGAAAAGGCCGTTTGTAAGTTGTGCTCCCAGAAAGTTGCGCATGGTGGAGGAACTACAAACATGAAAAATCATTTAAAGACTAAACACTTAGCTGAGTTTAACATGCTCTACCAAGAAGAACCTACTACCAGTTCACAGTCATCACTAGATGCATTTATTGTTTCAAAATCTGTTAAGAAGTTTTCTGCTAACTCTGAGATGGCAAAAAAGCTGAATGAAGGACTTGCTGACTTTATTACTAGGGATCTTCGTCCTGTTAGTGTAGTAGATGGAGCAGGGTTTCTCAATTTAATGCATCTTGCTGAACCACGTTATACAGTACCTTGCAGAAAGTCGCTAATGGAAATAATAGACTCTAGATATAACGATATGAAAAGGTCAGTATGTGGAGTAGTTTCACAGCAAGAATTTATCACTTTAACCAGTGATATGTGGACATCACGTGCTGGTGACGGTTTTATTTCTTTAACTGCTCATTACTTAACAGATACTTTTGATCTTGAGCATAAAACCCTACAGTGCTTACCTTTACCAGGTCATCATGACCATACTTCAATTAGTAGTGCAATCACTTGTTGTACAGGAAATTGGCTGATTGACATTGCTAAAAATGTCACTGCCTTCACAACAGATAATGGCAGTAATATCGTTAAAGCAGTCGAAGAAGATTTGAAATGTATTCGCATTCCCTGCACTGGCCACACACTTAATTTGTCTGTGAGTGCTGGATTAGAAGTCAATGCAATTAGTAAAGTAATTGCCCGTTCTAAAAAAGTGGTCACTCACTTTAACCAATCAAGAATTGATAGAGAGCAATTGGCACAATAACAAGAACTACTTGGCATACAAAAGCACACCTTAATTCAGGTAATTAATGATCGAACAATCAAATATTGATAATATTAACAATAATAATAATAAGTAATAACAATAGTACTAAAACAACAACCTTTTCATGATTATTTTGTATCTATTCTACATGTAGGCTGTACAAACTCCATGGAATTCCGTGTTTGACATGCTGTCTCGACTTTGTGAGCAGCAAGCAGCAATTGGAGCTGTTCTTCATTCTCAGAGAGAATTACTTCATTTGGAGCATACTCCCGTAGAATGGCGCTTAATAGAAGATTTTCTAGACCTTTTGAAACCATTTAAAGATGCAACTACTTATCTCAGCTCACAGAGCTATCCTACTTCATCTGTTTTGGGTCCATTGTTAGTAAAAATGAAGGATAAAATAAAGGTTAGCTCTTCTGACTCACAAAGCCTTAAATCTGTTAAACAAGCAATTGGAAGATATTTAGATGAAAGATACCAAGATCCTGCAGTTCGATTAGTTCTTAACAAAGCATCTTTCTTAGATCCTCGAATGAAGACCCTACCTCACTTATCTCCTGGCGAACAAGAAGAAGTGCTAGATTCTTTAGTAAATGAAATTGTTACTTTAGGAACCTCTAATTCTCACCCACCTGATGCAGATTCTACTAGTGAACAAGATACACAGCCACCAAGTGCTAAGAAGTCGGCCTTAGAGAATATTCTTGGTGAAGAATTTTTTACTACTACCTGTGACGAGGAATTATCATCGGCTACTACAGTTTCCTTAAATGAACTTATTTTAAGTGAACTTAGTCGTTTCAAAGCTGAACCTTTATTGAAGCTTCAAGGTGATGTCTTGCTGTGGTGGAGGCAACATGCTATGTCATATCCCAATTTATCAAAGATGGCAAGAAAGTACCTGGGAATAGTAGCGACATCCGTTCCGTCTGAAAGGCTTTTTAGTGCTACGGGAAACATAGTAAACGCAAAAAGATCTTCACTGGACCCATTTAATGTAGAGAAACTAGTTTTTTTACATGACAATGCACCTAAAATTACTTCCTTACATTACAAAAGAATAAATTAATTTTTTTCAGTTAAACCGGATAACCGTTAATCATTAATTTCAGTTAACTGGATGCATATTTTGGGTTAGGTTCACAGCTCTAATTGGAAGTACTTATTATGTGTTTCTGTAGAAAAGAATTGATCATATGTTTATAACAACACTTATCTTGGAAATAATTTTATTGCAGTATTGATTGTCATTATAGTACAAATTATGTTAATAAAGAAGTTCATTTTTGGTATACAATAATAAAATTTGAGATTTAATTTAGGCAGAAAGGACAAAGATACTACATTAAAAATTATTCACGGTAGCAATCAATTTTAGCTAACTGTCTTTAATAATCATGATTCAACCAATAAAATTGATCTTAAAGCTTTTTAACACTAAATTACCAGAAAAGTTAATAATTGCCAAACATGCAATATGTAATAAAAATGAGCAACAAATTTAGTGACAACACAACAAGACGAATTACTGAGAAAGTTAAAAAATTAACAGAAAATGATGATGAGAAATTAAGACTAGACATGTTAAAGAGTTACAGAAGTAAAAAAAGGGATAGATCACAACAAAGTACTATAGTTGATATGGAATGTGAGAGCTCTACAGCCTCATCTGTAAGTCCTACTAATTTTATGTTCCATGGTTTACAAAACAATAATCACAATATTAAATCTCAAAACTACATTAGAATGGATATTATTTCATACCAATTTTGTATCCTTGGACAAAATGCTTGTTGTGTAAATGTAGAAGGGATAAACAGAGACCTAAATTATATTCAAAGGTTAAGAACATGATTCCATCAGAAATTCCCGATGAATTGATAGCAAATGCTTTCAGTCTAATTATTATTATTACAATTGTTTTTCGGGATTATCACAAATTGAAGAAATGCACATTTCTTGTATTCTGCCTATCATATGCATTTTTAAACTTCCGTTGCATCAGTTGGGATACAAAGGCTACGATAATTAATCTACCACTAGATATTAAAAGTGTCGCAAATATTAAATACCTCGTGATCCTATAAATGTTAACATTGTTTTTGTTAAAAAAGACCATTCTCCTAATACTCACATAAATTTTAGAATTAGGAGAACAGAGATTTTAAATGCGCTGCAATGGCTCTTAGGAATCATAAGTATTATTACGATATTAAAATTGATTTTGCAATGATTGAACAACTACCAGATAATTCCAAATAGAATTTAATGAGGACAGATTTTTGCTTCACCATAATGGATATTTTATGATGAATATAGTAATATATTTATCCATGAATGGCATTTCAGAAGAGGAGGCTATGAGTAACATACCTATAAAGTCCATTGATTACCCATCCTTATTGAGAACACCAATAAATGAATTTAATACAGAAGGGTATATAAGTTGTGCTTTTCTATTTTTATTACCAAATGGTAATGCTGATTTCACAGCTTCTAGAATAGGAGATGTAACTATTGGAAATTATTTCAAACATTTGATGTTATATAAAGACCAAAGATTTTCAAAACATCAACGCTTTAGGTATGATAATTTGTAACGATAAATAATAATTATTTTATTGTGATAAATAATTCGCTTTTAATACTGAAATGAGACACCATGCACTTTCAGTCAGGAGATTTTATGCAAAGCAGAATGAACATGATGGGCACTTAACAGTTACAAAACTTAGTTGACTGTGGATAGTCCAAAAAATGTTTTTCAATTTGGTTCTTGTTTCTGAGAGGCACCAAACAATGTTGGTGCAAGCAGAGGGCAAATTTAATTACATTGGTAGATAATTTTGGTTTACCAACCATTTTTTTCACACAGTGCTGCAGACTTACAATGGCCTGAATTAGCACACATTTTGAATGTTAATTCCTTATCCTTGCATCAAAAGTCTAAAGTGCTATTTGACAACCCTTGTTTTTTTGTAGATTTGTATTTTTATCATAGAATAACTGCTTTCATGGATATAATTTACAAGAGTGTTAATATCAGAACCGAGGAAGTCCTCATATTCATGGACATGCATCGTTAGAAGATCCTCTTAACATTGAATCAATTCTCTCTTCACACGATGATTACTCATTAAAAAAATTGATCTCCTACATTAACAGCTATGTAACAACAATTAATCACAGGTTTATTACTAGATGGTTCAGGTTATCATAATGCACCGCCAGCTAAACTTCCTTATATTTGTAATATTCCTTTATCTACTGTATCAGATTCTCATCAGGACATCATTGACCTTGTCACTACTTGCCAATGTCAAACAAAATTTTCACCTGCGTACTGCATTAAAAGTATCAATAATGGTGAGCAAGTTTGCAGATTTGCATGCCTCAAAAAATACAAGAACAAACTTTAAGAAAATATGAAAATGATGAACCAACACTTACAACGATTTGTAATGATCCATTGATAAACAGCTACAATCCAATTTAACTATTCAGTTGAGAGGTAATGTAGATATGTAACTCTGCATATCTAAACAAAAAGTGATAGAGTACATTACAAAGTTTGCTACCAAATATGAACCCTGATCTAACACTCTATAGCAGATTTATTCTAAAATATTGAAAACTTGATCTAATAATTCTTCAGCAGAAGTCATCCAAAAATTTTTGCTTCATAGCATTGCTGATAGTGATTTTTCAGCACAAGAAACATCTCATTATTGCCTTTACTTGGAAGTACAAGAGATATAATTATTTTAAGTTTAGACAGTTCATGACATAAAGAGAATAATTTCAGTTAAGAATCTCAGGCAACTGAAGCTTCAATACTTCATAATTACATTCATCGTCCTTAAAATACAACAATGAATAACACGGCACTTATAAGATTACAAATCTGTCAAAGGGCATGAACCTGTTTTGCAAAGATTGAAATGTGTTTGAATATGTCCCTATTACTCACCTGATCCTACAAGAATAAATTTTGAGCAATATTGCACACAGAAATTGATGCTTTATGTTCCACTTTGTCATATAAATGATCTTAAAGCATCTCATTCACCTTTCACTGAAGCTTACAGTGTTAATCTTGAAACTTTTACTCTTCTGAATTCAATTCAAAATGACATTCATTTATTTGAGACTACTAATGTCTCATGCAATCAAGAACCTTCTGATACAACTAATGAAACTGAAATATTACATTTTTGTTTACATTCACCTACTTATTCTTTGTCATGTAAATTTGTGGATCTGAAATAAGGCCTAATTCTATAGAGGAATGGATGGTATAATGTAGACCTGATCAACACATTCCTCCATCAAATGAAAATCCAAACTATAATTTTGAATAATTAGACTGGTCATATTCGTCAAAAAAGTATGCTTTTATATGTGAATTTAACAGATTTGTTTGCCATCATAAAAACATTTCTCCTGCGCCTGTATTTTCTTCTGATGCCTCTCCAAATAACCTTGATGGTAAACAATTGATTGCTTATAACATTGATGAACTTCATTCATCTCACTTCACCTTATCCACTACGATTTATAACTTTTGGTACGGCAGGAACTGGAAAAACTTACTTGATTCATAGTACTAGAATTCTTCAGGACAGAGCAAAAGTAGCTGCACCAACAGGGGTAGCAGCTTTTAACATCAGTGGTTACACACTACATTCACTTTTACACATACCAAAAGAAGTTAAATTTTGTATAATTTACAATCTTCATTATAATCAATGGAATACCTTATCATTGATGATATTTCTATGGTTTGTCGTAAATTATTTGGTCAAATCGATCAAAGAACATAAAATCTTTCCACATAATTTAGATAAAGTTATTGGTGGTTGTTCTTGTATACTACTAGAAGATTTTAGTCAAATACCGCCAGTAGCCAGTTTCCCTTTTTTTGCTGTTTTTCAAGCTCCTTGGTATCAGATTTTGGCACCACTTTTTATCATAGTTTTGAAAAATTCATTATTTTAGACCAAATTATGAGGCAATCATGTGATGACAAAAGTCAAATTTAATTTCAAAATGGTATCGTCACTGAAGATGACTGGTAAATCCTCCTTATAACAACCCCTGCTCAAGCAATTAATAATATATCTATGTTCAACAATTCAATACATCTATTTTAGACTATTAAGGAAGTTAAGGAATTTAATATGAGCAAGCTTCATTCTTGCACTTCACCTATTGCTCACATTAATGCTAACATTCTGGTCCAAATGCAAATAGATATTTATCTGATCATGCTCATGGACTAGAACCTAAAATTACATTAGCAGAGGGTGCACGTGTTATGCTAACAACAAACCTATCGACTGAAAGGGAGTTTCTGCATGGTGCAATGGGAACTGTTAATTCAATATGCTATCAGAATGGAAACACACCTCCATCTCTTTCAACTGCTGTTACTATTGTCTTTGAAAAATATATTCGGGCCCTACATTACTTGATGGCTCAGTACTGATTCTATCTGTACCTAAAAGTTGGTCTTCTAATGGAGCATGCTCTAAAATACAGCTTCCATCTAAATTATCATTGGCTATTACTATTCATGAATCACAGGGGTTAACCCTCAATGAAGCAGTAATTAATACAAGCAACAAAGAATTCTGCAGTGGACTTACCTATGTTGCTATTTGTAGAGTATGCCATGTAAATAAAGTACTCATTTCTCCTTTCTCTTATGAAAGACTTCAAAATTCATCACATAATCCTAGTCTAATACAAGTTATTGACCATGATAAATACCTTTTTCTCCAAACGACTATAGTCTTAGCTTACAATGAACAGATATTTTGACTTTATTGTAGTTAGAATCTTAGACATTTATTATAGAGAATTTTATAGTTTTGATGAACTAATGTCATCATCATTTAATCAATAAAATAAAATTTATCTATTATTAAAGCAATTGCTCATGCTAGCCCCCTCAAAGTTTACATTCACCTAGTTATTATCATTATTCTTAACAAAAATATTATGATTCAGTTGAAATGCATTGATTATTATAGTACTAAATATATTCTTTTATTTTTTTACTAACTCC